TAGTCTGACCCGTCACCCAGGACCTGTTTGCCTTGGGAGACCCTACCAGGGACATATAGCCTCCGACAACATAGCTTCTAGGATCACTTGGATACTCAAACCCCTCCACCACAATAAGGTGGCAGTTCAAGGAGGGGGCACACTTTACTATTTATGGAAAAGGGATTTTGAGTCAGTGTTCAATGCATCATACAAAAACGTCAGCTAAAATAAGACATTTTTCTGAAGTGAAAGCATGTTTTTGGCTACAGTTGCCCTAAGATCATGACTCACTATGCTACTCTGTGCCACCCTGTCATAAAATAGATATTTTTATTATTTTTGTTGCTTATACTTATTAAAGATAATGCAGTGAGTACATGTTAGCCACAAAAGGAATAATTTCACACAAAGTGACCCCAAAACCACAGAAGCCTGAATGTCCTGTGCATAATGTGGTGAAGACAATTAGATCCCAGGTGATGCTGGATATATTTGCAGAGAGTGTTTTTGGCAGGGTATATATTTAAGCTATTCTTTTTGAAATTTGTTCATGTTAATATTTAGTTTAGGTTCATTTGTATGTTTACAAATATGGTGATGTGAAAACAGACTGATTCCTTATAGGCCTAATTAGCCTACAGCTTTCAGTGTTTTAGTGACAATTTAATGACTGAACTGATCAGTACATTTAACTATTAAAAAAAAAAACATGAAATACAGTTGTTATTCTTCCAGTGACATGAATTGTTTGTTTGTTTGTTTTTTATGCTGAACATCATCAGATTGAAGTATAGAGGTTCTTGATGTGTTTGACGGCCCAAAGTTTCTAAAGTAGTTTACTTGGTATCATATTTTCTTTATAGAAATATAGCAGAGAGCCATAACAAGTTCTTAAAATAATACTTAAGGTAGTCTTCAGTATTTTTTTTTTTTTGATAATCTACCAAAAGGTGCCCCAAATGACCTGCCTTGTCTTGGTTAGATGTGAGTTTAGATTGTCTCCCCTTCTGTCAGCTTGATGGTAATCACTTACAGGAGCAAAATTTCTTCATGGAGCTTTAATTGTGCCTCAGAGTATCTTGGTCTTTAATGGTGCAACAGTATTTATACTTTTCAGCAAGGAGGTGGTAAAACAAGATCATTATGTATTTATGTTGAAAATCGTTGTTACATTAATTTATGTTACCTTGTGAAAGACAGTAATGATCAGAAAAACGACATCTTCAGTATTAATAATTCAGATCAAATGAGTGAAGTAACCTTGTGAACTGGACTTTCAGTCATATTTTGATTCTTATGCTCACAAACAGGTGCATGACACATTGTGTGTGTTTTCTCCCAGAGGTCATGTGTATCTTATATTGTTGGCTCCTATCTCCGTCTATGTCTCTCTATCTATATCTGACTCAGCGTTTACTTCAAAGCACTACATAGTTGATCATCTTCCATTAATTTTCTGAAGCAGAAGAGGCTGGTTTTAAATAGTTCCAGCGAAATGTTCATATTTCACCAATAGATGGCAGTATAGGTATAATGCATCCAGTATGACTTGGAACTGTACTGCTCCTGTCTTATGTCTTATGCATAAGGCTTCTCTGAAATTAGAAAACATTACATCAGTGGATGTGTGAATATTTTCTTAACAAACTTTAGAAAATAGTATCACTCCAGAACGCCCGTCATGGCGTGCGTAATCGCCGGTGACGCTGTACCTCAGACCCCCTGTTGCTGGTCTCTAGTCAAGTTTCCCATGCAAGGGATGGCGACTACCCACCGTTAATGGGGGAAGAGGGCTGAGCCTTACAGCTGGTGGGGGAACTCGGACGGAGCAGGAGGAGGAGAAGAACGACTGATATAACAAGACGGCTCTCGATGCGCACACACAATTTCCACTCACTCCAAGTCTTTGAACCAAGACAGATAAAGGGGAGCGGGCTTTCATTCATTTCGAGCACAGACAACTTTTCTTTCTTGAGGCCGTGTTCGGTTCACCAGATAAAGCTTATATGGCTTTAGATTTATTTTAAAGCTGAAATAAATAAATATTAGACGGCAGCTCTGCAACTTTACGAAACCTCCGAGCTGGGAAGACTGTTTTCCTACAACTGTGTGACACTTCTTATAAGGACGTTAAAGCCTGAGAGTTTCTTCACCTACCGCGTGGTGCGGGATTTTGTACTGAAACCGGGATTTCTCAAATGCAAACGTACATGTATGAGAAAGCAATGGCCCAAGAGACAAGAAACGGAGGAACATCTACGTTAAATAACAACAATGGTGTTGACAACAGTAAGAAGAAACTACTAATAACGCTAGACATCTGCTGTCTTCTACTTGGTAAGTTCATAAATAGCTTTAGTCTATATAGGTCTGTTACTTTCTGTTATAACCTCATTTGAATACTTTATTTTATCATCTGTCATCGGCTGATGTGGACCTCATGCAAAACAAATCAGATTTGCACACTTATATACACAAAAAGTAGAATAATAAATGTATTAAACCGGACCAGCGCTTTCTAATGGTTGGAAGTAAAATTCTTATTTCTCCATCCATCACCACATATCACACTCCACCACTGCAATAACTATGAACTTTGCATTGTTGCAGCTCTCACACAACATCCTACTCATCTCAGTTTACTGCCTCAACCCTGCTGCTGAACTGTTGTTTTGCTGCACTAAATAGTACACAGGACATACTGTATTTCGTCCATATTTTTGAAATATTTTGATATTTGGGAGGCACTTTTGCTTTGCTATGCCAGTATTAAGATGTTTAAACAATATCTCGTTATTTATAACTGTGTTATTATGACAATGACAATAAAGTATTGACTTGAATTGAATTGAATTAAATTAAGTATCGCCTGATGTCTTTGACCCCAAGACAACTTAATCTGCAACATCCCCTTATCAGTTCCACCCCATGTTGTGGAAGTGCGGAGCAAAACACTAACCATACTCCATGTTTTCATCTTTCATATGGTTAAAAACTACATTGTTTATACCATGAAACCTTGCCACTATGACCAGACAATAAAACAGACATGGTCACATGTGTATTAGCACCTTCATAAATGGATAGCAAAGCACGTACAAATCCATACAAGAGACACACTGACATTTTGTATGGCTACTGTGCTTTTGTCATCACATAATGTATTGACCATTGCAAAGGCCACAGGGCATCATTAGGACTTATCAGCTTGAGCGTCCTTCGACTACCAACATGCCTGAGGCATAATGGTTTTGAAGTGTTGTAACCTGCCTTTTCGCTGCCCTTTAAATAGCTGCTGACACCCCTCATGTGCCCCCATAACCTTGTTCTTCTGACCCCAAACCTCCAGCGGTGCCATCCCAGCTAGAGCTGTCCTTACAATATGAAGTAAAAATCCAAGTCTAATTAAGGTATTGATTCATAGCTGCTGAAACTCATGGAACCAGAGGCGATGCTGGATAACCTTGCAAATCTCTGGCCAGCTGCCGCTGATCGCTTCAGATTGCTTTCTCCCTCTCTAGCCCTCTTTCTCCATATCTATCCAGGGGAATGTGTGGAATAATTGCTTAAGCATGTGTTGGTGGCAGGGAAATGCCTCTCCAATAAGAGAAAAAGATGGGGAAGTAGGACTCATGACTGACCAGGCATCAGAGGAACAGGTGGAGCTATACCTACAGCTCTATATAGAGAAACTGAAGCCTTAGTTGTAGTTAATGGAATATGCCTCATTGCCACACAGGAGCAGGATTCCATTACCCAGGATGTTACAAATAGTGCAGATTAACTCCACATTCTCATAAGTGTTGTGTAGTAGTAGCAGTGTGTTGTTCTGCTTATTAAAGAACCTCGGGCAGAGATACACTGTTTCATCTGCGCTCGTAAATGAAGACAAGCCTTGAACCCATGTGGTGGGAATTTCCTGCATAAAACAACTTCCTTCACTAGTAAAAGCTCTACAGTCAAATCGTCTTTGCCATGAAAAGACACACATATATACGTGGAAACACACGCAGACAGGCACAATGCATGTATACACACAGACATAAATAGATCCTCCTTTGTTATGCTAAACACAATCTGGCTGGCCAGTCAGGATTGGTTGGCCCACGTTAGTGGCTTTAGGGGGTTATGGGTGTGTGTGTGCGTGCGTGTGTGTGTGTTGGGGGGTTAAAAGAGGGAAGGAGAAAGAGCAGGAGAAAGGGTGGGTTATCAAGGGGTCCTGAATGAGGAACAAGGAATGTGGGTGTGTAGAGGGCTCAGAAGAATGCATGATCTTGAATGGGCTGTGTTCTGCGTGTGTGTGTGTGTGTGTCTGTGCGTATAAGAAAGAGGTAGTGTACACTACACAGCTAGTTAATGCATAAATATCTCATTACTTTTAATTAGTTCCTATATGCCAGCTGGTGCTACACTCACAGTCTGTACAGTGACACCTTCTATCAGTCTGGTCACACACCCTCAGGCATGGCTGTCTGCATAAAGAACATCTAATGCCGTCTATAATTACACACATGAGGACACACGAAAACACGTGTACAAACTTAAAAAGGGCATCTTCCTTCTGTTGCAAAGCTAATGATGCAGAAACACAGCAGGATCAGAATGGTGGTGAAACACACACACGTGCACCAGTCACTGTTCAATTTCTGCAGCTGAGCACATGCATCATCTGCTGATTTCACTCTGGCTGGTGTTCCACTTTTACTAAGAAGCAGAGTTGATTTAGGAGAACATACATACAGTAAATACCATACAGTCACTATAAATACATAGAACCTACTGCAAACTGAAAAATTTTATTATCTTTTTTTTCTCTGTCTCGCATGTACTCATGAACATGGCTACACACTGTCTGATTGCCTGCTGTAGTCCAGGTTAAAATGGGTGTTTGTTGTGAAAGCACTTTCTGAAGAGACACCCACTTGTGCTCACAGGAAACCATACCTCTAAAAGTAGCCTCTGCTAAACCCTGATTAAGTTTTACATAATGCAAAGGAGATTTTGTATTGTGTGTTTTCTTTTCTGCTACATTATTGTCAGTCTGGGTTTGGAAGCCTCCAGCAGCCTTTTTCTGACTTTACATGGATTGTTCAAGGCTGGCTCCACCTGACTTTCTGTCCTGTAGGTTTATTTTAAACGCTCTAGGTGTCCGGGTGTTGCTATAGTGACCAACCACTCATGTATATACCTGTGGAATCAGCTTCACAACTGACCCTCAAGCATTAGCCCATGTGTCTTTTCCCAGCCCCTGCTTCCTTATTACCTGCTGTAGCATTATAGCAGTCAGTCACACAACCCCTCATTACAGCAGAGAGGTTTAACCTCTACCTCTCCAGGCCTCAAGCCACTTCAATCCTGAGCCGCTCTACAAATATTTTCCAGAATTTCTCAAATTCTCCATCTGGCTACTGCAGTGCCATGGTCAAAGACCCTTGATGTGACATCTGGTGCAATTTTTGGAGTGAGTGAACCAGGGGGCATGGCGTGTGTGTGTTTATAGTGGAACTCAGGAAAGGGTGGGAAAACGGAAAGGTAGTGTCGGTCGGAGGTAGGTGTGGTTGTGAAATAAAATCCTGCTTTTTTTTTTTATTTATTTACGTCTTGGCCTATTTCTTTCCCCCTTCCTTCCCTCCCTGGTCCCTCTCCACTTGACCCAGTATTTCCTTTTCTTAACTGGTGCATTAATGGAGAGAAATGGCATGAAACAGCTTTGGTAGTAAAAGACTTAAACAAGATAAATGAGAGTTAATTTAATATGTATGATTATATGTACTAAAGGAATCACTATTAAATCCATAGAATGTTTTTTAAGTACTTGCAAAATATTCTCCAGAGTTCTGCATGAGACTGGTTAAGGGCAGGAGTTGACCTGGAACAAAAGTCCTCCAGACTACTTTGCCAGGTATAGAGTCACAGATGTAGATGCACAAAGATGGGGCCAATAGGAAAAATGTAATAATAATGCAAATGTAATGTAAAAATGTAATAATAGGAAAAATACTTATGTTTCCATTAGGTTTGCCATGTCTTGGATCACTAATTTGACTGTTTTACCAGTCAACAAAGTAGATCACTCTGTGTTAGCAGCCATTAAGATGGATGTCATGAGCATCGTCTATCAGTGCCACTGTTGATGGTCTTTGTCCGTCTGTTCTTCTGTTTGGCATATAACATCAAGGGTCAAGTAGAAAGTAGACTTATGTGAGACAAGTAGCTGCTGTGTTTGCTGACTGACATTTCTTACACTTATACAGAACGAAAAACTAGATACACACATTCAGTAGTCACCCAGCAAAAAGGAATATCTAAGATCAATCAGTACTTGATATGTGTATTTATGTTGTGATTATGTTATAAAGCTCTACTTCATTGTAAATGTTGGCTCTGCACTAGGAGACATACCCTGGCCCCGGGGCCCTGGGGCCCTGGGGTCAGGGTATGTCTTTGTGATATGTGTGTGTATGTCCTGGCTGCAGGACAAGGCAGGGTTAGAGCTCTGTGGAAGGTGAGGAGCATTCTCTGGCAGAAGAGCATCATTGTATCATGTAATAAGATAAAGATCAGCAAACATTCAAGATAACAGTAATGACCACAGGGCTCACCTCCTCAAGAATGTGTGTAATTTTAAGTGTGCATTATTGCGTAGACCTGTATATTTGTATGTGTTGTGTGGCCAGACTTGTGTGTGTAATATTTTCAGCCCATCACTGTGACATGTGGCTGGTTTCTGCTGGTGTAGGAGTTCAGCGACAAACCCCTGGGGTTTGTGTCTACACAGGGCTGTAATTAGAGGTGTGTGGGTGTGAGAGTGTTCGTGTGTGTCCCACAGGGTTTATGAGGGAGAAGGAGTGCTCAGTACTGTCATTAGATGGACATCTATGGCCCTAAGGGTGAAATAGCCATGCGGTTCCTGTGGGCAAGCCCGTAGGCATGAGTTTGACTGCTGTGACTGTGTCTTTTTACGCTTGTACAGAAACCAGATGAACTCATCCCTTTCACCGCCCTGGCAAACAATTAAACTGCACAATAAAAGAAAGACAATACATGAGAACAGTCTATAGTTTACACTTTGACAACAATAGCAATAGTAAAGCCTGTCTCTCTTATATCTCTCCACACTGTCATCTATGATTACAGCCCTCATAGGCAATCACTCTCAACCTACTTATTTAGCTCATTTTGGATTACTAGGCAAGACCCTACCATAAACTTTTGCAAACAGTTATTTTTGCATGTGTTTGAGTTTTCTGTAAGTGGAATTGTGTGTGTCATGAGCATTGTCTATGTGTTTCAGTGCCACTGAAAAACCATCAACAATGCTACTAGTCCCTTCCGTG